ACACGTGGGAAAATAGACGGAGGTAGCCAGGACCAGCCCAAGAAGACAAAGACAACAGAAGATGAAGAATAGGAAGATCTCTATTTGCATATAATTTAACTAATTAGATTTTTAAATTCTCATTAAATTATCTTCACAAGCCTGTTATTGTGGTTTCCTATGATTATCTCACTTTTTCTTCCTCCCTCTCCTCTTAGAACCCCTCAAATAATCAATTGAAATACTCAGTTTCTATCATTTGTTAGTAATATATAGTTTTCTTATATAAGCTTTCAGAAATATATAAATAAATCCACTATATTGATCTAAATTTTAAGAAAAGAAAAAATATATAACTATATAAAATGTGTGCCCAATGTCAAAGTATTAAGCTTTTAGTATTATTCGGAAGCTTCTGTTCCTAAAATCATTAACAAGAAATTGAAAATAAAAAGCCCTAGAGGTATAATCTAGGACAAACTATTTTTTCTCCAGAAATCACAATTCTCAGAGATGTGTTGGACAAGAAGTAGATAATATTAACTTTAGATTGGGCAACTCATCATCGCTTTCAGTATGGACAGCCACAGCGATCACTTCATTTCTCGTCAACAGTGACATCACTAAGCATGATTCAGTGGGTAGAAGAGCAAATCAAAGCTAAAAATACTGGTTTTGTAAAATTACAGACCATGCAGTCATACTCTTAGATCCTTTTTTAAAATGTGGGTTTCCCAAGCAAGCAAGCGATAGACTTAATATAAATTCTGAAATAATTCAATTAGAAATTTGAGAGAGGAAGAATACCCTAAAGTAAGGACTAAATTTAAATCACTAAAAATATTCCTTCAAAATTTCACATAATTCTTCAACATTTTTTCAGGAACAGAACTGATTAGATAAATGATAATTTCTTATAATCAGACCTAAAAAGCAGTGTTGATATATTTTAATACTATTTATTCTTTATTTCATGTAATACAAGTAGATATTAATAAAGAAAATATTTTTTAAAGTCTTACTTCTATGAAAAAATAAATCAAAATTTCATAACAAATTAATTAAAGAATAACATCAGCGAACACACTGTGTATCATAATCTTAAAAGAACGGTCAAAATGTTACAGTACAAGTCATAGTTTAAAAAGACTCTTGGCTGAGGATTTAGCTCAGTGGTTCTGGCTCCTGCCTCACAAGCTCAAGGTCCCGAGTTCAATCCCTAGGACCAAAAAAAAAACCAAAATACAATAGTGTAAAAAGACTCTTACAAAAAAGAAACAACTAGATAATAGCACAAAACTTTCTTTTCAATGAATTAAGAGGACCTAGCAGTATAAATAAATCAAATTAGAATATATATTGAAATATTTCTGAAACCACCATATATATAATTTGGGGAATTATTAGAACTTCTTCCTACTTTCTTTTTCTCTATCTTCATTTTCTTCATGTTTACTTTAAAATTTAATATAAACTATGTACAATAAATTTCTACTGTCTTTTACATAAGATAGGCACTGCAGACATTTACATACATCAGAAGGAAGACAGACAGTTAATGAGGGCCCAGTCCTGTGGGATATTTTCTCAGAACATGAAAGAAAGTTCAGTTGGGGAGGGCCAGGGATTTAGCTCAGTGGTGCTGTCACCTGCCTCACAAGTGCAAGGTCCTGAGTTCGATCCCCAGTACCCCAAAAAAAGGTTAAGATGGGGAAAAGGGTTCAAAGACTGCCAGATTAAGTGGATGTTAAAAAAAAGCTAAAATGCAGGCCTTTGGGTAACCAGATCCTGGGACTGCCAGTATTTGAAACACACCATTCTTTTTATCTTTTTTTTTTTAATTAATTTTATTGGTACATTTTAGGTATACAATATAATGACATTCATCATTGGAAATTTGCACCTTTACATAGTCTCTCTTGGTTCTTATTTTT